CCGAATTGCCGCCGAATAGCTGGACCTGCCGCCCCTCTCCGGATTGGCCGCCCCAAGCACCTACTTGCCAAGCTGGTGCCTGGAGCCGGCCCTGCAAATATCTAGATGAGTTGATGTACCCCCTGGAAGACTTCTGCGTACCCCTGGTTGAGAACCACTGGACTAGATGATCCGAATAGGCCCTTCTGGCTTGAAAATCGAGAACTGTATCGAGTCCATCCACTGCTCTAACCTGTGCATTGAGGAGCTTTTTTCCATGAGGTTCAGTGGGTTCCTTGGAGCCTTTCACAGAACTAGTGCCTAATGCCGTTTCCCCTTCCATCTGAGTTCCATGCAAAAGCCGTGGGCTCTAGCCAGGGTCCCTGGAACCTTTCCCAGCCCTTCTGCAAACCCAGAACCACAAACAACGGATTTCTTTTTGCAGACAAAAAATCTTGGTTTTATTAAAAGCAAATACAATGTCTCTACATCTGCAGTTCAAACTACACTACCCAAAATAACGCCCTTCACCTCTACAAGTAGCTGCCAGTAAAAAGATCCATTAAAGAGATACATACATTGTTTTCATTTAATAAAAAAATAGTAAATCCTCTCTCTAAAAAGGGAATATCTAATGCCTAGACAGCAGAAGGAAGGATCAGAATGGGGGAGGTTGGAATGGACCTTCCTCTCATAGGGTTGCCAACCCTCCAGGATTGTTCTGGGTTCTCCAGGAATTAAAGATTAATCTTCAATTAAAGATTATGTCATGTGATGAAACCTCCAGGAATACATCCAACCAAAATAGGCAACCCTATGCTCTACGGGTGTGTCTACACTGCAATTGGACCCCCACGGCTGGCCCGTGCCAGCTGATTTGGGCTCACAGGGCTTAGGCTAAGGGGCTGTTTAATTGCAGTGTGGTTCATTCCCCCTTCGCACCTCGCTGGGTCCTAGACCCTAGGCTCTAGCCCATGCCCAAAAGTCTACACCGCAGTTAAACAGCCCCTTAGCCCGAGCTCTGCGAGGCTGAGTCAGCTGGCACAGGCCAGCTTGGGGTGTCGAATTGCAGTGTAGACACACTCTGAGATGCACCGATTACTGTGTATCATTGCTCTGGAATATTAAGTACATTGTCATCTTCCCTGCCTATTTTGCCCCCTTTAAAAAACAAAGCAACCCCTTACCTCCCCTCTTCCTTGGGTTAAAACAAATATAGGCTACGTCCATAATTCACCATAATGTGTGAAAGGAGACAGTGTGGCAGCATTCAGGAAAACATCCTTATTCAGAAACTTGTTAAGTACCTGCTTAGCTTTAAGCACATGCTGAAGTCCCATTGAAGTCCTGAATCAGGGCCAGATGCAGGGCCGGCTGTAGGCACCAACAAAATAAGTAGGTGCTTGGGGCGGCACATTTCTAGGGGCGGCATTCTGGTGCCGGCCATCATAGGCGCCGACTCCGGGGCATGGGGAAAAAGTGCCCCTACTGCCCCAGCTCGCCTCCGCCTGCTCCCCTGAGCGCACTGCCGCCGCACCGCTTCTCTGTTTCGCGCAGCAAGGCTGGGAGGGAGGGAGGAGAAGCCGAGCGGCGGGGTGCTCGGAGGAGGCGGCAGTGGTGGAGTGGAGGTGAGCTGGAGCGGGGAGCAGTTCCTCTACCTCCCCGTTACTTCCTGCGCCCCCCCCAGCTCACCTCCGCTCCGCCTGCTCCCCTGAATGCACTGCCGCTCTGCTTCTCCTCCCTCCTTCGCCTGAGAGGGAGGGGGGAGAAGCGGAGCGGTAGCGCGCCCAGGGGAGCAGGCGGAGTGGAGGTGAGCTAGGGCGGGAGGTTGTGGGGGGGGAGCGCAGGAAGCAATGGGGGGGGGAATGCAGCACCCCTGGGGGAGGAGGCGGGGCCGGGGATTTGGGGAACGGGTTCGGAAGGGGCGGAGTTGGGGCGGGGCCAGGGACGGGAGGGGCATGAAAAAAAAGGGGGGGTGGCCAAAAATAATTTTTTTGCTTGGGGCGGCCAAAATCCTAGAGCCGGCCCTGGCCAGATGGAGGGTGAAGCCTGAACATTTTGCATTTCTTATCTTCTGGAGAGGAAGGATTGTCCAGTGGTTAGAGCATTGGCCCAGGAGGTGAGAATTGTCTTTGCTCTGCCACCGACTGCTTTTGTGACCTTGGGCACATCACTTTGGCCTAGTCTGCACTAGAAACCACTCACTAGTATTGCTATCCTGCCAAATTCTTGTAATGTAGATGCTGTTTATACTTGCAAAGGAGTGCTTTTGTTGGTATAGCTTGATTCCCAAAGCAAAAAACTTCAATCAGCAAAAGCTTTTTTGTTGGGATAACTACATCCACATTAGGGCTTTTGCCAATATAGAAATGTTGTTTAAAAAAAGAAAGATCACACCCCTAACTCAGATTGCTTTACCATCAAAACTTTCTAGTGTAGACCTGGCCTAAGTCTCTCTGTGCCTCAGTCTCCTTGTCTGTACAATAGGGATAATAGCATTGTTCTACTTCACAGGGAGTTTGTGAGCATAAAAAGTGTGAGGGGCTCACATGCTATGGTAATGGGGGTCTGGTAAGCACTTTAGACAGTCGATTTGTCCAGGACCCTCTTGGTGAGTCTATGGAGGCACAACCTCCTCAGCATTACGGGCCCCGGCCTGCAAGCACTCTCTCACATGAGCAGTCCTTATGGGCCTGTTTGTTACATGAATCAGGCACCGCTTCCGCTAACCTGGAAAATGCCAAAGTGGTATTGGGTAAAGTGATACTGCCTGGGATTTTAAAGGAGTCAGGTTAGGGTGACCAGACAGCAAGTGTGAAAAATCGGGACGGGGTGAGGGGGTAATAGGAGCCTATATAAGAAAAAAGACCCAAAAATCAGGACTGTCCCTATAAAATCGAGACATTTGGTCACCCTAAGTCAGGTGCCTAATTCCCACTGAATTTCAATGGAATTTAGGCATCTAACTCCCTTGTGCACCTTTGAAAATCCCAGCTGTTGTCTGGTAGTTTAAGGCACAACATTTAGAGGGGTTGGTTTGAAGGTTTTACAAAGCATATTATAAATGTGTCAGTACATGTTTTGGGGGATGTTTTATTTCAGTGAATGCAGAGGGGGGGAGGGTTTGTGGGGAGGGGTATTTTGGAGGTGGGACAGATAAAGATTTCCCTTCAGTACAGTTATTTGCACTCCAGTCATTGCAGCATTGCACAGGGGCATGAGAACCAAGAAGCACAATAAACTAAAAGCAGAAAATGAACCTGAGCATTTTCATTTCGCCGGCAGAGAGAATGGCAAGTAATGAGCAAGCAACCTAGATGGTGAGAAGTTAATGGCTAATGGTAAAAAGTCCAAACTGAGTCTTATGCAAAAATTAAACAGCAGAAATGGCAAAAAGCCATTAGGTTTGTAAAAATTGTCCTGTTTTAATCATCTCAGGTGTTTTTTGTCACACAGGTGAGAATTTTTTTTAATGTATGCGAGCAAATTGTGATCTCAGTTTCACTGATATAAATCCAGAATAACTCCATTGTCTTCAGTGGAGTGACTCTGAATTTATAGTGGCATAACAGAGCAGAAATTGGCCTATGAGATTTAACCTGTTAGTGTCCCTATAAGGCCACCATACAGCTGTGACCCCAAAACCCCAGCATTGTTGGAGAAAGAGAGAGGCAGGGGTTCTCAGGTTAAAGGTATATGGTAGCCTTAAAGGGACATCCCATTGCATTGTGCAAAATTTTCCCCATCCGCCCTATGCAAATAATATGTATGTTCAGATGTCCATCTTAATAAAATTAGCCACCCCCAGGCTATCAGCTCTTGGTTCACCACATCACATCAGGATGGGTTAATTTCATAGAATGACCTTATTTCACCAGCTCCTCTTTTTGTCTTAGTCACTCTTTCCTTTTTCCTCCTCAGGATTGTCCCTCCAGATGCAGAAGGTGAGAGAAGAAGCCAAGGTCAGCCAGGCCAGGTAAGGCACCATCAGCATTGTTGCCATCTTGTTAATGGGGTACCAAGAGTACATGGTGCCAAGCACCAGGCCATATAGGCACAGGATGTCCACCAGAGCCTGAAGAAGAGAGAGGGAAATGATTGAGGCATCTACTGCTGGGATCATATTCTCCCTATGCATTGTAAGAGTAACTCTTATCGAAGGCAGTCCAGCGAGAGTAGGACTGTTATGGGCTCTCCTGTTGACAGTGTATTTTATAGCCTGATAAGCCATCCACGAATAGTGTGGCCCCCTTGAAGTTCATGGCCCTGCCTCTGGTTGGACCAGGGTGTGACACTCAAGGAGGCTTATCTCTCGACGTAAATTCTTAACGGAAAGATGCAGCAGCCAGAAGACTGGCTCCCTAACCGCCCCGCTTTTCAGGTCAGGAATGCGAGGGACTGATAACACTGGTTAGAATCAAATGTGGTGTGAGCAGACACTGAGCTCTGCTAAGATGCCTTTACAGTTGACACAGGGTACAGCACTACCTGGTGCTCGCTGTAGACCCTCCGAAAGGCGCCAAACTGGTGGCGCAGAGACACAGACGACACAAGACAAATATGCACAGACACGTTACCAGTTTTAGCTTATGAGCGCCAAAGAATAGGGGAGTCCAAGCCCAGTTCAAGGCAAGCTGAGCCCCATAGAGGCCCAGCGGGATGACAGCTTTGCTGTTGAAGCCACCTAAGTCATTCCACACCAAATATGAAGCGTAGCTGTGAAGAGGAAAATCACAATTAACATTTTGCTGTCCCACCTGGCTTCTCTCCAAGATGCTGTGGGATCAGGCACTATTCTACCAGGAGGCACCGGTTTTTGCTCCATATAATTCTTACTATTGGAACACAGCTCCAAGGGCAGATCCCACCCTAGCCAAAGGCAGCTCTTATGGCTTGTCTACACTGGGTTTTGAGGGTGGGGTTTGCACCAGTGTAGCTACACTGGTGCAGTTCCTAGTCTAGACATACCGCACTGGTGCAAAAGTGACTTGCGGTAGTGGGTTTGCACCAGCGCAGCATTGGTACACCTACATCTGTGGCCTGCCATCACATCAAACTCATGATCTCTCTTGTCTATTTAGGCAGTAAGTTCATCTGGCAGGGAATGTCTCTGGCTATGGATACAGCGCCTAGCACAATGGGCCCCTGATCTTAGCTGGGTTCTCAAAGTTCTACAGTTGTCATCGTGAGCCTCAGTGCAAAATAAACCCAGTGTAGACAAAGTCCCCGGCAAAAAAAAAAAGTTCCAGGTGGAGCTGATGAACTCAGCTCAGTACCCAGTGGGGTGTTAGGTTCATCTTCTGAAAATAAACGTCCCTTTCCTGCCCACTTGGTCCTTGAGAAGGAAAGCTCCAAACTGAGCCGTGGAGGAGAGTGAAGTCTCCCCTAGAGATAAAGACCTACAGAAACAGAGAAGGGGTAGTACACGGAACCTTACCCCATGCCTGTGTACAGGGTAGTCCACACTACGGGGAACATTTTGTTGGGTGGACGCCAAGAGGGTTTCTTCAGGCTTTCGAACCAAGTAGGCACTTCCTTCCGTGTCAAGAGCCAGCCGAGAATTCCCCCGATATGAGGCAAGGCAGAGAACCCAAAAGCATGAGCCCACATCCCTCCTTACTGGATTGAACTGGACTTGGGGTGGCTGGTCCTGGCGTTTTGTGACTAAAAAGCAATAAGTGAGCATCATTTACAAAGGACATTGGTTATTTCCATATTGACCAAGACCTTCCAGGTCTTTGCCTTACTCTAATTGCCTGGAGGTCTTTTTGGCAAAGTGGCTACCCCCCATCCCCACTCCCTGTCATTGCACTGGCTGCTGCAATTTCATTATTTACCTAACGTGGCTGCATTGAAACCATCCTTAGAAGACAGGACTGAAGTCACTTTTCTCAGTGCTTGTCCAAATGCCACAGCTCACAGAGCGCGCAACCTCTCCTACATGTATGCTGCTAGACCTCTCAATGCAGCTATTATCTCTCTGCTGCATGCTCCTCTCAGTAGGGAAAAACAGGCAGTTTGTCGTGGGACCCTAATTTTCTTCTCTCTTCAGCTTATCTCTCACCATATATTTATATTTTAAATAAACATCTGTAGTGAGCATTTTTTCATCACAATATTTCAAAGTGCCTTACTAACATTATTTAATCCTCCCTGCACTCCTGGAAGGCAGAAAGGGATTATTCTCCCGCATTTCATAAAGGGGTAAACTAAGGCACAGAGGGGTTTATTGACTTGTCTAGGTCATACAGTGATTCCCTTCCAGATCCAGGCACAGAACCAAGGAATGCCGAGTCTCAATCCCCTGTCCTCGCCATTACATACCCCCTCCCTTTTTAAAGACAGTCGCACAGTCTTTACATGACTATGGGCAAGTCGTATCAGGGCTGAGTGTCCCCCAGTCCTCAACATGCTTCTCACCCTCAGGGGCAGATTGAGATGTGCCTGTCTAGCCTCTCAGTGGACCAACCCTTTCTTTTTGGATCCATTCATAACTTTAAACCCAATCTCATTAATCTGCAGGAACACGTGGGCTGTTCTTCCTGGCAGTAAAAGATCATACTGATCATGCTCGGCATCACTGTGGGAGTCTGAGCAAAAGACTTCTAAAAGGTGGTTGTCTTTGGCAATGTAAGGGGAGAGGTTCAGAATACGTCTTTCAGAAAAAAAAGTCCCTGGGCAGGGGTGCTGGAACAATTTCTATAGTGGGGGTGCTGGTGATGGAAACCATGTATTTGGTGTTTGTTATTACTACTTCAAGACAGGGGGTGCAGCAGCACCCCTTGCACCCGTAGTTGCAGCACCACTGTCCCTGGGAATCCATCTATTCTGTTACTTTGCACTTGTCGGGGGACATAGATCAGGAGAAAAGAACTGACCTGAATAGTCTTCTGTGTTTTGGATTTTGATCCAGAACTAACGCTGACAGCCCATACTAATGATTAATATTATGCAAGAAAAGGTCATCTTTAGAAACCCGGAGCCAGCAGAACACAAGCAAAGGTATGCATCAGTAAAGATCAAATACACACAGGCGTCATAGCAAATAAACAAGTCCTTTACCAGACAGTTTATGGCACTATTGAAGCGTCTATGGGCCAGAAAACCAGCCTTGCGCTGAGCAAAATAAGAAGAGTCGATCCTAATTTAAAATGATATAATGGCACAGGCTGCATTTCAGTTTCTACTCAGCAGAGCAAATTGTTACTGCCAGGGTTTGCAAAAACAAACAAACAAACACTGGAAATGCTAGGCTAGTTTGTTACAGATTGCTGAAGTAACTAAGGGGTGAAACAGACACTTCACTGTCATAACATTCTAATTTGGAACACAGCTGCTGATACTGACAAGGCTAAATCTATAGGAACAGCAGCCTTCACTCACCTTCTCCCAGTTGATTTTCCCCCGTCACCAGGAAAATACAACAAGCAAACAGATGGATTTCTGAGGCCAGCCTCTGGCTCTGTTCCTGCTTCTACACAATGAAGAAATTGTCATCTGAGTTACGCTGAAGTAGCAGAGAAAGGGGCGTGTGTGTGGAGCCTGTAGTCTGGAAGAATTACTGAGGATCCCTTTAGTGGTGTTTGTGTAACTGTCTGCAGAGGGCGGATCCAACCTGTCAAATTCACACATACACGCAGTATGTGAGACTCCACATCTCTGCTTGATGCAATGAGGGAATCCCTCTGTGAGTCAGTGTGTGTGTGTGAGAGAGAGAGAGAGAGAGAGAATGTGTGTGTTCTGTTTGTGTATGTGGTGTGAATGCGTTGTGTATGTGTTGAGTATTTGAACGTAGGTGAATGGTGTATATATGAGTGTCTGTACATGTAAGAGTGTGTATGTGTATATGAGTGTTATGTGAAGAACTTGTATGTAGGTGAGAATGTGTCCTGCATGTGGGATTGTGTATTTGTGTGCTAGTGCATTAATGAGAGAGACAGATGGCCCGATCCTCATCTGATGTAAATTGGAGTAACTCTATGGATAGCAATAGAGCTATGCTGATTTGCACTAGCTCAGGAGCTGGCCCGGTCCAAGTATATCTTCACTATGTACAACAGTGTGTGAGTGAGAGAGAGAACATGCTCTGTGTGTGTGAATGGGCGTCTGCAATTTTTATCATCCGTGTGGTGCATATCAGAACATTTATTAACCAGAGACTCTCTGTGATCTCCCCTCCACTTCCCTCTTAGCCAAAATTGGCAAAAGCCTCTTGAATCTAAAGTAAAGACATTACAAATGCATGCTAAATGGCAGAGGGAGGGAGAGAGAGACCTAGAAATCAATTTCCATTAGGAGGCTGTCTGCAAGGGATGGAGAATTAAACACTAATTCACTTTTGCCATGGGTCATTACCTGAATTACATGGTCTGAAGCAAAGTTGATGTCTCTTGGGGGAGTGTGATATTTCCATTATAACACAGGCCCAGTCAGATCCTTTAATTTTATTATGCTCAGAAGGAGCAGAAGAAAATTACTGTTTTGTGAAGGGTGGGGAGAAACCCAGATTCTTAGAGTACGTCTACACTGCAATAAAAAACCCGTCGCACTGAGTCTCAAAGACCAGGTCAGATGACTCAGGTTTATGAGGCTCAGGCTGCGAGGCTAAAAATAGCTGTGTAGATGTTCAGGCTTGGGCTGGAGTCTGGGTTTTGAAACCCTCTCCACTCTCAGGGACTCAGAGCCTGGGCTCCAGCCTGAGACCAAATGTCTACATTACAATTTGATAGCCCCGCAGCCGAGCCCCGTGAATCTGAGTTAGCAGACCTGGGCCAGTGGCGGCCGCACTGCGGGTCTTTTATCGCAGTGTAGTCATTCCCTTAGCTGCTGTAAATCAGCGTAGCTCCATTGAAGGGTTGTGTTTCCATAGGGTAATTATCACTGTAAAATAAGAGATGCAACACATGCATTAATTGAACAATAGCCACATGCATGTCAATTGTGGAGCCCACCCCTCTGAAGACCTTGCAAATGGAAAAGCCCATCATTCAGCAATGCTGCTATTGTGCATGACAGAACAGTTTCTAGTGCGATCAGCCAGTTGGCTGCTGATGTTCCACTGGAGTAGTAATAATGCAGAGCACTGACTCATGCTTCCTTCATGACTACACTGGAAGGTAACCTGTCAACAGTTTTTAGCTGCCAGTATTTCCTTCCCATGGACAGGGTGCAAAAAGATCACTGTTCAGAGTAATCTGCTGCTTCATGGATTTCTGTATAACCCAGATCATACCTAGGCCTGGTCTGTCAAATTCCTAGCCCACTTTACAGATTAGGATGCTGGAGAAATTAAGTATTTCATCTAAAAAATTAATGACCCAGTTCACGAGAGTCCTGGCTTCACTGGCACAGAAGCTATAAAACCTCTATAACTGGCCATGGAGAATTTCCCTGTGTGGGCATATAGCTGGCATAATAGCACTAGGCGACTCACCCAGCAGCTCCCCATGTAGGGGTCGTTTTGGAGACATTTCTGGAGAAAAGGAGCATGCACTGCCACACTCCAGCTACCTCTGGCTGCTGAAATAGCCCCTAGGATCCATAAGGACAGCCCCTGAGACTGCTTTGTTTTCACCGGGGATCGGACCAACCCCAGAATCAGAGCAAATTTCAAGCAATTATTAGGCAATTTTTCCAGAGGGGGAATTGTGAATTTGCAAAATACAAGTGTAACACACCCTGCCACAATGCAGTGCTGTCTCCTTTCATAGAGGTTTATGAGCCCACTGCGGGGTTTGTGCTAACAAAGTTGGATCTTTTAGCTCAGGCAGGACAGGCTCATGCTTTTAGACCCAGATCTCCAAGGTTCAAGCCCCATCCAGGGGCATCGGGTCACGTTACACAGGTATTCACCTTGACTATCTGATACAAAGAGTTGTGCGCATCCAATCAAAGAAGAGGAAGACACCATGTGACCTATGCATCCATTCAAAATGTTCTAAATTTTAAATGCTCCCAAGAAGCCACCTGCAAATCGGCAACACAGCAAGAATTGGTCAGGGACACTGTTCAGAGAATGATGAATAAATCTGAGAAAAACATGATCTGCTTACGGATGATTCATGAGGAGGAAAAGCAAAATTGGTCTAATAAATAATCTGTTAAGAATTATTCTCCCAGCTCTATCACTAATGCACTGTTGCTATAGGGTACATTAGGGATCTTTACTGTGAATCATTGAGGAATGCAATATTCCCATTTCTGCTGAGAGATCAAAGTCCATTTATCTCAGTGCTCCCAGTTCCCAGGGGATCATAGGTATCAGAGATAGGAAAGAAGTATGAGGTTGGTGAATCCATTGCTGTGCATGAGAGAGGGAGCAGGTACTAGATATTACACTGCCATTACACTGAATCTCAGCCAAAATGCTGGGGGGTTTCCAGGCAGATGACAAAACTACAAGTATCAAGCAAAGAAAACTCATCCGTGACTTGAGAAGTTGTATTTATTTTATTGCTATTAAATAAAATTATGATGACAATAAAAATCAGTGCAGCATCCTTGGCTCCTGCCAGCTCTTGTTTCACTTCCCGGTAACTAACCAGAAAAGCCCACAGACTTTGACCTGTGACAGTGCCTGGATACGAATGGCTGGGGGCTGAGAAGAGTGCATTTCCAAATGTCATGCCCAGAGAGGATCTTTCCACACACCTCAGTGGGTCTTTGGAACAACCAGAGAAGGGACAATTGTGAGAAAATTCTCACCGTGATTTACATGGAGCCTGGTGCTGGCTAAGAAAGGACTTTGAGAGCCAGGTCCTCACCTGGTGTAAATTAGTGTAGCCCTACTGAAGACAATGGAGTTGCATAGGTTTACACCAGCTGAGGATCTGGCCTCGAGAGCATAGTGAGTGCTGTGTGGATACCCATGCACAATCAGTCGTGCTCAGTGTCACGCACCTCACTGTCAAGTCTCCGTGCTTTGATTCAAGGAACCTAGGGACAAAACAGGGCCTTTACTAGTGGAGGTCATGTTGTGATGCTAGGCATCATGCTGAACCGGTGTCATTTAGAGCTTGCCTGTAACCACTTTGCCCATTGCAGGCTGGGAGAACGTGGATGACAGCAGCTGCCAGTCCATTCCTCACCTCCACATTTGGCACGGATTTTGTTTCCGGAGGAAGCAGGTAGCCTCCGGTCTGCAGCAGTTTGCCTGACCCCGTGGTTTCTGTCAGTGTAACTGTTCTTGTCCATTTCTCATTCAGAACAGCCCGTGGAATTAAAAGTCTCTCTGCAGGGTGGGGTCTAGTGGTTAAAACAGGGGGCACTGGAAAACCAGACTCCTGGGTTCACTTCCTGGCTCTATTATTATTTATTATTTGTATTGGTGTAGTGCTCAGGGCCCCTAGTAAACGGACCGGAACACCATTGTGCCAGGCACTGCACAGTAGAACCTCAGAGTTACAAACACCTCGGGAATGGAGGTTGTTTGCAACTCTGAAATGTTCATAACTCTGAACAAAACATTCTGGTTGTTATTTCAGAAGTTTACAACTGAACATTGACTTAACACAGCTTTGAAATTTTACTATGCAGAAGAAAAATGCTGCTTTTAACCATCGTAATTTAAATGAAAGAAGCACAGAAACAGTTTCCTTACCTTGTCAAATCTATTTTTAAACTTCCACTTTACTTTTTTAGTAATTTACATTTAACACAGTACTGTATTTCCTTTTTCTTTTTTTGGTCTTTGCTGCTGCCTGATTGTGTACTTCCGATTCCAAATGAGGTGTGTGGTTGAGTGGTCAGTTCGTAACTCTGAGGTTCTACTGTATAAACCCAGTCCCTGCCCCAGGGGTCTAGGAGCATTATCTAGTGGTTATAGCAAGGGACTGTGAGTCAGAGAACCGGTTTTATTCCCATCTCTCTCATGGACTCCCTCTGTGACTTTGGGCAAATCACGTCTCTTCTCTGTGCCTCAGTTTCACCTGCTTCAAAATGGGTGCAATAAGTACCCACTTCCCAGGGGGTTGCCAGGGCTAACTAATGAATGGCTGTAGGATGAAAGGCAATACAGAAGGGCAAAGTATTTAATATTTGCTAAGCAAGGAAAAAAAGAAACAAGTTTGGGTTTCTTTTCTTTATCATGAATGTTAACTACTTAGTTGGGGTTTTATTGAGAGCATCGTTTTTTCTGAACTGCTGTTTTGACTTCTATTTATTTTCTTTCCATTTGAGCCAATCAGAATGAAGAATGGACAGCATTGACCAATGAAGTCATTGTTACAATGCACACATAGTGTGAGTTCTGAACTTGGGTCTAAATATCTACTCTTACTGCTTAACCCAGCTACCTACCTAATCTAGCTACTTAACCTAACTACCTACTTCTTCTGTTTACCCATCTCCTCTGTCTACCTGCCTGTGTACATACGCAGTCCAGCACCCGCCTACCCAAACTGTCTACTGAACCTAGCTACCTACTTAATCTGTTTAACCTAATTTAATCTAGCTACTCTGTCTACATGCCTATTTACACAACCCCAACTAATCTCTGCCTACCTATCCACTTAATCTATCTACCTACTTAATCTACTTCCCTCCCTATCTTTATACCCAATTATCTA